TGCGCGCGGCACGCTCCAAAACGGACAAACAAATTACACTTTGAGCTTCGGGCGCATGTCCAATCGATCAAATACACACAAAAATATGTCAAAATGGCCGGCTTGGAGAGTATTTACTTAAACACAGTTTATGTCTTAAGTGGAGAACAGTTGGGAGAAAATCCAGTGTGTGTCAATATATTGTCTTAGAGTGACAGACTGGCGCTTGGGCCATCAGTTAATAAAACAACAAAATGCAAAGACAAAATCACTCACAGCTCTTAATCTGAATAACGTTATAGCTTTAATAGCATTAATCTATCAAATACATACACTGAAAACTATGCAGTGTTCATTTACATTTGATTACTTTTAGATTTCTTTTCTGGGCTATTACTTACCTGAACAGTAATGTTAGTAGAACTTCATGGAAAAATGAAAGCACTGTTTATTTCGTTTCATTTGTGTATTTGTTTTATTGTATTTGTTAGTTTGTTTTACTTTGTTTCTTTGTTCATGTTCTTATTTTATCTTTATGTATGTATAAAACACTAAAAATGCCTGCACACTGGTGCATTTACAAATTGATGTTTTATATTCATTTCATTAAATATTTATTTTATATTTCAGAATATAAAGCAATGTTATTTCAGCTCTTAATTTGTCATACACACACACACACACACATATATATATATATATATATATATGTCATATTTTCGCAGTGCCTTGCGAAAGTATTTTTTCGTTTCTCATTTTTTTTACATTTTGTTATGTTGCTGCCTTATGATAAACCTAGCTTTGCTCATCAGCATTTTGCAATTATCTGCCATTCTTCACCTCACCGGTTCACCTCTCAAGCTCTATTCAGGTTGGATGGGGGCAGATGCACCTTTTCAGGTTTCTCCAGAAATATTTGATTGGGTTCAATCCCAGGCTCTGTCTGGGCCACTCAAGGACATTCACACAGTTGTCTATAAGCCACTCTTGCTGTGTGCTTAGGGTCATTGTCCTGTTGGAAGGTGAATCTTCTGCCCAGTCTGAGGTTCTGAATGCTCTGGACTGGGTTTTCATTAAGGCTATCTCTATATTTTGCTGCACTGAGCGTTTCTTCTACTCTAACGAGTCCCTCAGTCCCTGCTGCTGAAAAACAGCTCCACAGCATGAGGCTGCTACCAGCACACTTTACTTTTGGGATGGTACTCTGCAGGTGATGAGCGGAGCTGGTTTCCTTCAAACATGATGCTTAGAATTGAGGTTCATCGGACCAGAGAATCTTGTTTCTCAGAGTCTGAGGGTCCTTTAGGTGGTTTTTGTAAATTACAAGTGTGTTTTCATGTGTCTTAACTGAAGAGAGGATTGAGTTTGGCCACACCGCCATTAAGACTGGATTGGTGGAGTGTTGCAGCGATGTTTGTCTTTCTGTAGGTTTCTCCTGTCTCCACATATGATCATGGAGCTCAACTAGAGTGACCATCAGGTTCTTG